GATTCTGCAAGTTCAATTTGCGTGCTGAGCATGGGTCTTCATCGGTACGCTTCCAATTCTTCGTCTTCCAAATTTTTCGGTACGCCAGAGCGTCTCTTTTATCTCAACATCAAAAATCATACTATTATTTTAAAGCGTCTAAAACAATCTCTGCATTGTTGTCTCCGAAGGAGCATGGCGCATTAAGTCGCCACAAGCCAGATTCTATGTGCTTCAGTTCAGATTTTTTTTTGGCAAAATCGTAATGCAGTAAATTCCCCGCAAATATTCTTTTTTTGGCACGAAAATTTCGAACAAGTTTAGCGCTATGAAAAAAATATGTTGTTTACACTTCGGCGGAATAAACATATAATTGTCCACATCGAGCCTAGGGTGGCGTTTCACGATGAAGGTTGGCTGTAGTATTGCTGATGCAAAAAAGTTGAAGATAACACATCTGTTCGGGAAACAGCGAGAACTTATTCAAGTGCCCAATACATTCAAAAACGTCGTGTATCACTGTATCTTAATGATGAGCTTAAAAATTTAACAATGATAATTAATAATAGTAGTAACAGTCTTAAAATTTGAAAAAAGTTTATAAAGTTCTCTAAAAAAAGCTTTTAAACGTAGAATTTTTGAAGTCGCTTTTTTCAATGACAAAAATTTAACAAACAGAATAACTAAAATAGTTACACCGTAAACCGATATAAATGACCAAAATAAAATTTTATCTACATATATTCAAGGTTGGGGAAAAGGTTTTTAATTTTTTTTTTTTTTTTTTTGGGGGGGGGAAAAAAAAAAGGGGGGGTTTAACAACCACCCCTTTTTTTCAAATTTCTTCTCCTTTCTTTTGGATTAGGAGTTGATTCACACAACAGTTGCCAAACGTTTAAAAGCATTAGGAATTATTCAAAAGCAAGCAAATTGGGTGCTATACGAATTGAAGCTGAGAGACGTCGAACGGCGTTTTTTCACGTGTGAACAGCTGATCTAACGGCAGAAAAGGAAAGGTTTTTTGCATCGTATCGTGAGTGGCAATGAAAAGTAGATACACTACGATAACCCGAAACGTAGAAAATCGTGGGGTAAGCCCGGCCATGCATTAACATCGACGGCGAGGCCGAATATCCATGGTTCCAAGTTCATGCTCTGTATTTGGTGGAATCAGCTGGGTGTAGTATAATATGAGTTCTTCAAACCCAACGAAACCATCACGGGAAATCGCTATCGACTACAATTGATGCGTTTGAGCCGAGCATTGAAGGAAAAACGGCCGCAATACAAGGAGAGACACGACAAAGTAATTTTGCAGCATGACAACGCTCGGCCACATGTTGCAAAACCGGTCAAAACCTACTTGGAAACGCTCAAATGGGAAGTCCTACTGCACCCGCCGTATTCACCGGGCATTGCTCCTTTCGATTACCACTTATTCCGATCGATGACTCATGGCCTGGCTGAGCAGCACTTCCATTCTTATGAAGATGCCAAAAAATAGATCGATTCGTGAATGACCACAAAAGATGAGTCGTTCTTTCGACATGGTATTCGCATGTTGTCAGAAAGATGGGAGAAAATAGTAGCTAGCGATGGACAATACTTTTAATGACATGTTCTTTACTAATTTTTTTAAATGAAGCACTCATTTTCACGAAAAAACAGCAAGAACTTATTCAAGTCTCCAATACAATTTTAGAAATATTAAACTACCAGACATATCAAAATGTAATATTATGTTCCGTGCTAATTCATTTCTTGCGAATGTGTTTCTGCTGGTTAAGGAGCTAAAATACGTACTTTTGCCACTTGACAAAGACCACTAACAGGTTCAGAATGCCCGAGATTTGATTTTATCGAACCTATCAATAAGGGAGTAGTCCTCTTTGAACATAAAGCCTGATCGATGGCGTTAACTTCTGGCGGATCTCCTGCTAAAGTACTAGTGGCGTGGGCCTCCATATAGGACAGCTCTTCAGGTGTGATGCCGCAATCATTGTAAAAGTCTTCCAATAATTTCTTTTGCATACTGAGAGAAGGATATGTAATCCCTTCTGGCTTCCAACCATCGCAATTAGTTTTAGAGTAGACGAGGGTAGCATAGATTCGTTTCGCGTTCTTCGCTTTCTGTAGATATATTACTGCGATTGCTTCACTGCGCATATAACCCGTACCGCTCGCCTCGAAGGGCTTACAGTAACCATCCGCGGAGAGGACTCCTAAAATTGTTCAATCGGCTAACAATTAGGCGATCTTTTCGAGTTACGCCATTACAGCGTTTATATGTAAGCGATAGATCTCTTTACAAGGAATGATTTTACATTTTATAAGATTATTTACAAGCTTACCGAGGTGAAAAAATTGAAGCGTTATATTGGGATGAAGACACAGATTAGCACCACCCACGATAGCTGCGTCGCACTCTCCACCTCGTATCATTCTGAAAGCTTCCGCAATAGCGTAGTGGCTTGAACTGCAGGCCGTATCCACCACATAAGATGGTCCAGTAAGACCGAGCCAATTAGAAATACTGTTCGTTAGCCAGTATTTACCGCAACCAATAACTGAGTATCCAGGTGACTAATTAAAAATAAATTATGTTTATGTTAGCTTTTATTTTTTACCCTTTATTATATTTATATTATATTTATTTATATAATATAATATTTTCTCCTTTATTATATTTATATTATATTTATTTATATTTATTATTGTACATATATTAGCGTTTATATGTATACAGAATATACTTTTTCAGTTATATTAAATATAAAAGTCTGAAAGAATGTCCGTGCCAATAATAATTAGCTGGTTTTCAGAGCTTCGTCTAATTATGTGACTGTTATTAATTATTTAACGATTGCAGCGTTTTTATCATCTTTCTATGTTGGATTTAATAAGTTCTGGCACGAGCGAATATTTCAAGAACAAGATCATTCAGAGGGATAATTCTTAAAAAAGATATGTATTTTTTAAAGTAACAATATAATGTTTGTTTATAATATTATTAATAAAAAGTGTTTCTTTTTCGTAATATTTGGCAGTTCCAGAACTGCTTTCATATTAGAGATATGAAATCATCTGATAGTGTACCTGAGCTATGGTAAAGAGAATCATGTTGGCCGATGCAGAATAACACGATCCTATAAAGACACCAGTTTTCGTTCCTCGTAATTCTTTGGGATTTACACCGGCGTCGATAAGTGCTTCATAAGTGTGCTCGAGCAACATCCTGCACATAGGATCAGTAATATGCGCTTCCACAGATGAAATACCAAAATACTCTGCGTCGAACTTACTTATATTATTAATCTTTCCTGACCGATCTGGCATGTCATAATGAGCTGTAAAAATGCCAAACATTTATTTTTTATACTATGACTATAATCTGCAGAATTGCTACTATTTTCTTTTCTATTTTGTTTTTTCCCTTAATATTTTATTCAAATTGTATCCGCATATTACCGTTCTTCCATCGTCGATTGTCGTCCGAACCTAGGTCCATCATGTTCAAAAGATTTACTTGCAACTCCTTCATATTGTCTGTATCGGGAAATCGACCGGCGATACCAGAAATCACAATCTCTTCACCCGGCGGCACTTTTTCGTATGGGTTATAAAGTTTGCTGCCTTCCATATTTTTGTCTCACTAACAAATCTATTCGTACTGAAAACATAGTGCAAAATGCTTTCTGCTCTCTCGAACACAAATAAGCAAAACGATCCAACGGGACGTTGAATAAATCTACAATTTTATTCCATAAGTAATCTTTCCGCGCAAGAAAAATGTACGTACCTAATTATATATATTACTCAAAGCAATTAGGGGAGCGCTTCAAAACTAGCAAAATTTGATGGTTATTAAGAAGTCATATTTCAGCTTGAGGAGGTCGTAGTCAATTACCTGAAAATACGTTTAACAAGTAAAAGGAAGCTTTCACACTAGTAAACTTGCATCACATCAACTCGCAAGTCTGTAATAGACTTTAACGCGAGAAATACAATTTATGTATCTACATTATATGTATGCATGTATAAAAGCGGGACATCGTAGCGAAAATGAAGTAGCGCAAATAATTTCTTTAATAGAAGAAGGTCTTTATCTGTGCTGACACATACATACACACACACACACACATACATATCACGCACACTTCATATTAACGTACACATATACCATACATATGATGTGCAAAATCCGTCCGAGCAACCTCCCCGTGGTGCATATCGGATAACGCGAATGGCGGCGGTGTTGCTAAAAATCTTGCAAAATGCAGGGGTGATTTTGAAATGCGACAACTCGGCTCCAATGTATGATAGAACAATGTTCCTTGCGGCGTTTTAACCCTTTAACGCCTACTGGTAACTATAGTTACCAGAAACGCATTTAAGAATCCATAACTTATGTTAGTCAAAAAAGGAGATATTTTCGTTTCCTTCGCACCACTGTAAACGTGAATTCTTCTTCTAAAAAATGGTATATAGATTGTATGTAGATTCGGTCTGTTTTAACTCAGTTTTAATGATAACATGTTTTGTCAAATTCCAAGTAGGCATAGTTCGCATTGTTATTGACATCTAGAAGTGCACTATAAATGAATAGATTGGTATCTGTTATAATTTTATACATTTGGAAACTTTCTCAGATGCAAAATGTGAAATTAAAACAATACAGAAATTCAAAATGGCGATTCCAATACGGTGGACACGAAAATCAAGAAATCAACCTATTTTCGTGAAATCTGGTGACCTACAGTTTTTTATGCGACAAAAAATGAAGGAACGATTGACTATCTAAATGGTGATTTATAAGATATTCTTCTGACATAGTAAGCTTGACGTTTTGAATGATAAACTTCACTCACAAATATATTAGGTGTACAAATTAATTCTCGGACCCTACCTTTCATCGATTACAGAACCTATTCAAATTGGAATTCTTTTTCCGTTATATAGTTATTTTAAAGTGCCATCTTTTAGCTTTAAGATGAGGTATAATACTTGATCCTACTATGAACATAACCTGAAAAATCTGTTGTAGACGCGATATCATTCGAAAACCAACTGTGGGATCAGAAGAGCGTGATCCATTATGAGATGATTCAACTTTGTCAGACCGTCATTTCTGAGCTCTACCAACAACAGATGATCCGTGAATGACATACTTAAGAAAAGAGACCGTTTACCGACAGTGGGAGAAGGACGGTGATACTGCTGCAGGATAATGCCTGGCCCTACATAACAAAAAACCCTACATAACAAAAAAAGACTCTGGAAACCGTTTCAGATTTAGGCTGGGAAATTCTCCCTCATGCGACGTATTCTCAATACTTGGCTCCTTTAGATTATCACCTACTTTGATCTTTACAGCACCATCTAACTGATTTTCAATTCAAGTCAGTTGAACAGGTCGAAGAAAGCCTCGATGAATTCACTGAATTAACCCATTAACGGCCAAATGTCCTAAAATATTAGCCTTACTTCGCAACTGTATTTTATGTAGAGAAATATATTACCGTATAAAAAACACTGATTTTTAAAAAATTATTTTTAATATTACAAATAAATAAAGACGAAGATAATAGTTCTCGGATATATAATTAACCGTTTCATATAGAATATCCCGTAAAGGACTAATTTCTAAAAACAAATTCCAAAAGAACGTTACAAAAAAATAAAGACAAAGATAATTATATTATAGAATATTATGGAATGTTATATTTTAACCTGCCAGAAACTGTATCCTTGCAAAGAAAGAATGTTCAGAGAAAATTATTAATACGTTTGTACAAAAATTGTTACTTTTTAATACCTTATAAAAAAAATAATGAAATCAAAAAATTGCGCCAATTGGTAATGTAAAAGTATGTTGTATAAAACATTCTTAAAAAAGTCATATTTATTGACATTACAAAAAGTATCTATTGACTAAAACTTAAAAAATGTAAAAAATAAAATTAAAAGTAAAAAATAATTAAAAACAATTGATAAATAATCAAATAATAAATAACAAAAATGAAATAAACAGAATAATAAACATAATAAACATAATAAAAAATGAAAACTAAAATTAAGATTTAGACAAAAACACTTGGCGTGCCCTTATATACGTGCTCAGGATGCATCAGAACAAAAGTCGTAATAAATTGTACATTTCAATCTTCCAGTAATATAATATTAACGTTATTTTTATACATACATTTTGTTATTCTTTTGGAATTTGTTTTTAGAAATTAGTCCTTTACGGGATTTTCTATATGAAACGGTTAATTATACAGTGTGTTTGATAGCTGATCATGCAGACGAAAGTTGGAGATCGATTGGATGTAGTCGAGAAGAAAAGTCATGTACCATAATGTCAAATTGGCAATAGTTATCGAGTTATTGATTAAAACATGTGAGCCAACGAGCGCGTAGAGAGCGGAGGGCGGCCGCAGTAAGCACGTATACATTTGATTCAGGTGGAGTCAGCGAGTGACGGTAGACAAGCGCGCGCGGCGAGGGGCAACGTAAGCGACAAGAGGCGATCGCGCGCGACGAGGAGCGAGCGAGCTTTTTCTTTACAGCTTTTTCCTTATAGCTCGCTCGCTCCTCGGGGTCGCTTTACAAGATTCCGGCATCAGAATTCGTTTAGATTCATAATAAAATCCAATATAGCGGAATTTTTGGAAAAAGTCGTGAAAAATCGACAATTTTATTTTTTATAAGCTTGATTTCGTATCAAAAACGTTACTTTGATACAGATACAAGTGTCACATCTTGTCTCAAAAATGTTGAACTTTCAAGGTATGCATTGGTGAAAATGTGAATTCAAGATGGCTGCCTCAAAATGGCGATTTGAGCGAACAAAACATAAAAAATAATGTATTTTTAGAATAACTTCGCAAAATCCTAGTATTTAGCATCAGTCCTAGTATTTAGTATCCAGGGTACTGATTTTAGGATATTTGCTAACAACTAATTCATATTAGAGAATTTCAACATGGCGGATCCAAGATGGCGACTAAAAGGCACGAATAATCGTGAAAATTTCCAGATTTTCATGAATTTTCTTCTATTATTAGGTGCGCAACTAAGTTCCCGTTGTTTTTCAAGAGATGGCTCCAGTAGTAAGTGCTGGTCGATTGTGACATAACCAAAATGTCATGAACCAAGCTTAGACATATGGTAAACAAACCGCTTTGACACATTAGTGATTTTGTTTTTGCGTCATATGCTTTTAGTTATGTGAAAATGTCTTATTTTGTGCCAAATAATCATCATTTGCGGGAAGTGTTGCTTTTCTTCTTTCATTCGAAGAAAACGGCGGCTGAAGCGCATCGAGAACTCCAAAAAGTTTTCGGAGGTGCTGCTCTAAGTGAAACAACGTGCCGTGATTGGTTCCGTCGCTTCAAAGACAGTGATTTCGATGTTGACGACCGTTCGCGTGAAGGAAGGCCAAAAACCTTCGAAGACGCTGAATTGGAGGGCATTGCTCGATGAGGATCCGTGCCAAACGCAAAAAGAGCTTGCTTCAGCATTAGGAGTTATCCGCCAAGCCATTTCCAAGCGATTGCATGCGTTAGGAATGATTCAAAAACAAGGAACTTGGGTTCCTTATGATTTGAAGCCAAGAGACGTTGAGCGTCGTTTTTTCGCCTGCGAATAACTGCTCCAGCGGCAAAAAAGGAAGGGTTTTCTTCATCGCATCGTTACGGGTGATGAAAAATGGATTCATTACAGCAACCCAAAGAGAACAAAATCATGGGGACTGCCCGGTCATGCTTCTACGTCGTCGGCTCGGCCGAATATTCACGCTGCGAAGGTTTTGCTGTGTATTTGGTGGAACCAGGACGGTGTTATTTATTATGAGCTGTTGAAACCGAACGAAACCATCACTGGGGAACGGTATCGAACTCAATTGATGCGGTTGAGCCGAGCACTGCGCGAAAAGCGGCCACAATACGAGCAGAGGCACGAAAAAGTGATTCTACAGCATGACAACGCTCGGCCTCACGTTGCCAAACCCGTTAGAACCTACTTAGAAACGCTCAAATGGGAAGTCCTACCCCACCCGCCATATTCCCCAGATATTGCGCCGTCCGATTATTACTTGTTCCGTTCGATGGTACATGGTCTGGCTAATCAGCAGTTCCGCTCATATGAAGACATCTCAAAATAGCTTTATTCGTGGATAGCCTCAAAAGACGAACACTTCTACCGTGACGGTATTCGAGCTCTGCCAGAAAGATGGGAAAAAGTTGTCGCTAGCGATGGGCAATATTTTGAATGATTCATTTGTAACCATTTTTTCACAATAAAGTTGCATTTTCATAAAAAAACAGCGAGAACTTAGTTGCGCACCTAATATTTTCATATTCATGAATTATTTTCGAAACGTACATACGCACATATACAGGATGGGTAATTATAAACTTATAAAATTTATAAAAACATAAAAACACCGAGATAAGTACAACGGACGGGAGAAAATAGAAATCGACTACGTAAAGTTTTGAGAAAAATTGCTAAATAAATGAGCAAATAAACGCTCAGTGGGCATGCGCTGTGGGCATCGCAGGTATGCTACTCCGCACGGCTTGGGCTGGATTGGCAGGCAACAACAGTGGACCGGTGCGCACCGTTGTTGCTTGTCAATCGGGTCCAAGCTGTGTGGAATAGCAGACCCGCGATGTATGACCACTGCGCATTTATTCGCTCATTTATTTATTAATTTTTCTGAAAACTTTACATAGTCGATTCCAATTTTTTCCGGTCCGTTGTACTTTCTGTAACATAAAAACATAAAAACATCGAGATATTACTGTATTTCGATGTTTTTATGTTTTTTATAAAGTTTGTAAGTTTATAATTACCCATCCTATATATGTGCGTGTGTACGTCTCGAAAATAATTCATGAATATGAAAATAATAGAAGAAAATTCATGAGAATCTGGAAATTTTCACGATTATTCGTG